GTGAGAGGCACTGCTGGGCACCCCCTCTCCCTGCCTGGCACCCCCTCTCCCTGCCTGGCACCCCCTCTCCCTGCCTGGCACCCCCTCTCCCTGCCAGATAGCCCCTCTCCCTGCCTGGCACCCCCTCTCCCCGCCTGGCAGCCCCTCCCCTTGCCTGGCACCCCCTCTCCCTGCCGGGCACCCCCTCTCCCCGCTTGGCAGCCCGGGGCGCTCAGGAACAGGCGTAGCGAGTGTTGGTTACACAGTCACACTCCCCGCAGCACGTGCAACATTGTTCCTCAGCGTCCGGCTGGGGACAGAGGCCGCGGGCATGGCTTTTCCCGGAGGCGAGCGTATTTCTGTGGCTCGGCTGGCGTGGCTCCGTGGCCCAGCGTCGACCCAGGCACCAGGAGGTCAGGGTTTGACCCTGGGTCCACACTCGCGATTCTACAGATGAAAAAAATCGCATCTTCCAGAGAGACCGACGCCCCCGCCCAGGCCCACGGGCATCGAGCATCGGGCATCGAAGATGCAATTCAAATCCAGGCCCATTCCCTGGCCTCTCTCTGCATCTGAGAGTCATTCCCCTTCTCACCGTCAGAGGCCTCGCCCGTCCTCCTAAAGGCGAAGGTGTAACCGTGAGGACACCAGGCGGGTGTTGTTGGCAAGGAAAACACCCCCTGAGGCCCGACGGGCGAACACCCAGGTGCGAGCACCCCTGGCCTGAGGGCGCTAACTGTGCCCTGTGCCCCTCCACACCCCATCTCCAGCCGCCTCTACATTAGCGAGAGAGGCCTGGGGGGTGGAGAGCTGAGGGCACGAGGGTCTCAACCATCAACCACACAGGCTGGCGTATTTGGATCCGCTCAGGCAACCCCGGTTCCTTTATTTTGTTCCGTTTTGTTAACCCTCCTGCCAGGATATGTTCCCACTGATTTGAAGAGAGAGTGGAAGGGACGGAGAGAGAGAGAGAGAGACATCTGTGTGCGAGAGACATGTCGACGGGTTGCCACCCCCGCACGCACCCCACACCCAGGGCCGGGCACCGAGCCTGCAACCGAGGTCCGTGCCCTGGACCGGAATCGAACCCGGGACCCCTCAGTCCGTGGGCCGCGCTCTATCCACTGAGCCACACCGGCCAGGGCCAGACAATATCTGTTTCCAGAGTCCAGAGCGGCGTGGGGCTGATGCGGAAACACTGTTTCCCGCCGTGTGGCCCTCAGGGCCCCTCGTCCTTCTCCAGGGACCATTTCTAACAGAAGAAACCCTTTCGCGGGAAGGCAGCTTCCTGCGGTCCCCTCGTGGGTGACCTGCACCCCGCCCCCCCAGCAGGCACGCCCCCGCCCAGGCCGGCGAAAGGAAGGCCATGTTTGTGTCACAGACGCACTCGGCCGTCACAGCCAGGACGCGCTTTTGTGTGGCAAAACCCGAGAAGGAAGCCGGGGCCCACAGAGCGCTCCCCTGTGAGCCCCGGCTTCAGCCGCAGGAAATAGAATAATTACGTCGTTACACCGAGATCCTTAGGCAAACAGGCCCCATGTTTACAATGTAGCAATCCATTAGCCTCAGCGCAGACAGAGGCTGGGAGGCCCGGAGCCTCCCCTCCCCCCTGCACACACAGGGAACCTCCCCGTGGGGTTTGCTCCAGAGGCAAAGTCCTCACCAGCCCCAAGTCCAGGTAAACAGGCCATAAATACCGACGGGTCCTTCCACCCCTGTGGCATCTGCATTCTTTAGGGTCTAAACGGCACGCGATGTTGGCTCCCCGCACCCTCCCCTCCCCTCCCCACCCCCCCAATGTGGAACTGGTCCTCTTGTAAGAGCCCTCGACTTGGGCGTTTCTCTTTTGAAAAGCTGACCAGGGCACCGTTTGAGTCGACCGCACGCGTGTCCAGCCACAAACCCTCCGAGTTAGAGAGGGTCCCGAATAAAGACGAACCCCGTTTCCTATGCTTGGCCCTAAACGCCATCCCCACCAACGAGGAGCCGCCGCGAAGAGAAGCCCCATAAGGTCACAGGTGGGACAGAGCAACCACGCCAGCCGGGCGGCAGGGCTGCGCCCATGCGGGGAGGGCCGGGGCTCCGGGAAGGAGCGGTCAGCCCGGACGGACGGACGGACGGACGTACCTTCCCCGGAAGAA